TTATTTTAAGCCTCCTAGCGATTTAGCATGCAGGGTAATTTTATAGGATTAAGTTATTATTACAATATTCCTCTTAGAATTACCGTATGTCTCTTTTTTGTTTGTTTAATATGTGGGAACTAATTGCAAAGCGTTAGTAACGCAATCTGATGCTCTATGTGAGTCACAATGTAAATAAAACATATTATCACAGAAAAGAGAAGTTCACTATAATCACATTGCTTCCATAAATAATACGCCTCTTGTATAATTATTTACGCATTCCTGCAGAGGAAGACGAGGGCAGAGAAATGACCGACAATGGGGGGAAAAAGTGCTGTTCTCTGAGGGAAGGCAGGGCTCCGCGCACCACCAAGGAGCTTTTTATCATACGTTATTATAACCAACCCACACATCAGTAAATGAAGAAACTACGACGTTTCGGTTCCTCCTGAACCATTATCAAGTACGAAGCCATCTCTCGCGACTTGATACTGGTGAAGGAGCGACCGAAACACGTTGGCGTTTCTTCATTGTCTGTTGTTGTTGTTTAAGATTTGCTACTTGGAATAATAAGTTCCAAGTAGCACGGGCTATGGTGAGCCCGTAGGGCTTCATTGTCTGATGTGAGGTTTGGTTATCATATCTTCAGCCACGTTATTGTGACTCGTCGTCTGCATAAACGATACAGCTGCTGCAACGCTTCTCATTCCACCCCCCTCTTTTTTATACTGAAAAGTCTACTACATCACCAAAATTACATACTAACAATGCTATATTAATATTGTCTCAAAGGTTCAATTGGATTCCAGACTCTCCAACACAAGAAATTGAAAGCACAGTAGCATGGGTACAATATCATCATTTACAAAGAAAATTACAAAGCACTTTACAGTGCAATCAGAAGTTCAGAGCTGAAGTGAAATAGGTTTTTAGTGATTCTGTTAAGTGTGTAATAGGAGTGTTCATCATTGCTGCAGTACGAAGTTTCCATCTTTCCTGCAATATGATGTGTCAATTCTTCCTGCAGCATGATGTGTCCATCTTTCCTGCAGTATGATGTGTCCATCCTTCCTGCAGTATGATGTGTCCATCCTTCCTGCAGTATGATGTGTCCATCCTTCCTGCAGTATGATGTGTCCATCCTTCCTGCAGTATGATGTGTCCATCTTTCCTACAGTATGATGTGTCCATCCTTCCTGCAGTATGACGTGTCTATCCTTCCTGCAGTATGACGTGTCTATCCTTTCTGCATTATGTAGGTTGTCTCATAATTGAGATGTATGTTCTGTTATACCATAAACAGAAAACTCATGATACTAGAAACATTTGTTCATTTTTCTAAACATAAACATATCAGTTTAAAAAAACAAAAACAATCTTATACTCCATATTATACTGTACAAAATTCCCTGTCAGTTTAGGGCAATTCACTGTTATCCATAGACAATCTCACAATCGTATAAATACAATTTAACATACATCACCTTATTTATGCATATCATAATTCCATAAAATAAGAAACAGATTCAAGATACTATGCATAAGATAAAATAGCGGTACAATCTCCAAATACAACAAATCTAACCCATTGTCCACATCTTATATCAACAAATATAACTTAATTATTATAGTACAAAATAGCACTGTGATTCTGGTGCACTTAGCAGTGAATTCACCTATATGTCCCTCTTGCACTACACTAAGCTCTCTTTAGTAACAGACTAAAGCGGGGAAACATTTTTATATTAATATAAATTTAAGTTGGCTATCATATATCATGTTGATATCTACACTCATTAATGCAGTTATGAATTTTTTTTTTACATCCTCATTTTTGAGTAATGATAGTTCGCATATAATCTTATTGCAAGTTTGCCATACTGTACTCTGTATCACAACGTTCAGTGCTGCTCTTTTATTGCATTGCTCTTAAGTGTAATGTAAAAGTAATTTATATTTTAGTATGTTCACAGTGTAAATGTTTGCAGCTTCCTACCATAAGCTGCTCCAATTTATGAGTGTTTTCCCCGGTTTTCTCCTACGTTCACTGTATGTATATAATGTATTTATGTTATTTTTTTTAACTGTGCAAGTTCCCTGAAATTAACACTATAGATATAGTATTACATTGCAACAACGATATAAAACACACTGATCTATTAAAATGCAGAAAAAACCACAATTATAAATGTAGTTATTCTGCATAGTATTGCATTGTTTAAAATTTTGTACAAATGAAGGTTGCGCTTTGTGCATATAATCCAATGAAAATCAAAATTTGCATGTCTAAAATTGAATTGCACTCGAGTGATACTGCCGTGACATGCAATGCTATCTTCTTAATATACCAGAACAGTAATATAATTTTTGGACCGCTGCATCTACTGCTCTTAGGCTGCCAGACGAGTGAGGTGGTTACCTAGAGCAGTGTAATTAACGCCTGTGTAACCGATCACAGCCCAACCTATACGACTGGGATGCTAGACTTGCTCTCTCGTATAACTCATCTCAACTGTTTCATGTCACTTCTGAATATGTGATGAGCGTTTCATTCAGGGGTTTAAAATATTGTTTTCATAAAATTAATATTTTTGTGTATTGGACTTAGGCTAGGCTGCAAGAAATGACGTGAGAGGCTTTCTCTTGCCGAAGATAAAAAGAGGAATGTTACTACCTGCAAGGGCCAGATTCACGAAAGCACTTACGCAAGCACTTAAGAACGTGTACATCTTTCCTCAATCTTTGAAGGCTTTGGTTACATTTATTAAACAGTTTACAAGCATGAAAACTTCCCATTCAACTGTTGTTATTGTTATAAACAGCCTCCTGGTGCTTCGGAGCTCATTAACTGTTTAATAATTGGAAACAAAGCCGCGAAAGATTGAGAAAAGATGTACAGGTTCGTAAGTGTTTGCGTAAGTGCTTTCGTGAATCTGGCCCCAATTGGCTCGTAAACCTACCACAAGGCTCACCCTAGACAAGACATTTATCCAGCTTGATGACCAGAACTGTGTCGTACACGTCTCTGTAAATTTTACGGCTCTTTGGATGACGCGTGACTCCCTAGTTTAATTTTACAACACAGTTCAGCCAGTTCTAATGTGTGTGGAATACACCAGCTATTGAAAGGTCTGGACATATTTTTGTATGCACTCATGTTCGGTGCACTGAAGGAGCTGTAGGTTGTAAACTGTGTGCTTTCCAGTGAATGTGTAATTGAATGTATGGAGCTGTAATTATTTTATTTCAGCTGGAAGTAACATCAATTATGTAGGTCCTCTCAGTCATTGCTGCAAAATCGTCATTCATTATCACATTTATTCTTTAAATGCAGTCAGTAAGAGCAGTACTTCTATATTCTCTACTGACACCAATGCTAAATAATAGAAGTACCAGTGTATAGAAGCACACAAATTTCACGGAACTTAAGAATGTGCTGAAAATTTAGTTTCATATACACGTGACTCAGGATACATGCGGCCAGGTCACATGCAATCCATGTTCCGAGATCAAGTCATATATAGTTATATATCTGACTATATGATATAGTCATATATCTGTTTAAAGTCCAGCTCATATACAAATTCCTGTCAGATACAATTTAGGCATGCATACAATGTATCTGCGCAATACAGGTTTCGTTCTTGTGTACCTTGAGGTTACCTTGAGATTTCGTGGCTAAGCGTCCCCGCGGCCCGGTCCTCGACCAGGCTTCCTCGTTGCTGTACTGGTCAACCAGGCTGTTGGGACGCGGCTGCGAGCAGCCTGACGTATAAGTCACAGCCTGGTTGATCATGTACCAAACAAATATATCTTTTGGCTGTGTGCATACATAAGATACATGGACGACTGCCAATTTAATGTATGATTTAGACGTCAAATACATTATAACATTATTCTCATACCATTTACACTATAAACATATCTGTATACAAAGTCTGGTTTATTTTTATACCAAGTATACATTTGCAACAGGTTTGCTAACAATACAGCCTAAACCATGGGTCAAGTGCACATGAATTACGACAATATAGAGATTTAACTAACAAATTATTTGGGTAGAACTCATTGCGGCAACACTCCCTTGCGGGCCCAGCAAGGTAATAATTCAATGTATCACAATTGCTCTTTGTTATCATTATAAAAAAAAACTATGGTATGTAGAGGGAAAAGAATGTGTTCCATCATGCATACATTATGGTGCATTACGGTGCTCCATAAGTATAATAATTTCAGCGGTCTGCCAGACACAGTTATTCACTACTCTGTATAAATCAGGTGATTGTGGCACTTTAAACAATCTTCCATTCCATACATTCATAATCAACCTTCTATGAAAGCAGTGCTTGTAATATTTTAAACATTTTTAACACGGAATTTGTTTACTGAAAAACAAACTTAAACTTGAAATATCAAGGTTGTCTCAAGATTGCAGAACCTCTTACGGTGTATTTGCAGTGTGACTCGAGGCCTATTACTGCAATGTGACTCGCAGTATGACTTATATTTGTTCCATTTACTTATTATATTTACGTTTAGCTCCGACAACAGCTTCATCATTTTAAGTTTCACGAAATCTAACTTGATATTCTGTACCAAATTAGAACAATAGTTTCAACTACATTTTGTTGTTTATCTCTTACGCCTTTTGATGTCGAGTGTAGCCTAGTGTCTCGCTCTCTTCATTTCTGTCTTAGAGGTGTTAGAAGGTGGAGATCACTGTGATGGTTGCTGCGGATAGCAGATACACACACACGTACACATATGTAGGTACTAGCAGGACACATACATGTAGATATCAGCAGGACATACACATGTAGGTATGAACAGGATACACATGCATGTATCAGAAGGACACGCACACGCATGTAGGAGCAAGACACACACACGCATGTATATGCAAGACACACGCACGTGTGAGCAGGACACACACACACGCATGTATGAGCAGGACACACACACACACACACACATATACACGCATGTATGAGCAGGACAGACACACACACACACACACACACACACACATACACGCATGCATGAGCAGGACAGACACACACACACACACACACACACACACACACACGCATGTATGCGCAGGACACACAGGTAGAGTATGGAGGCATCCGACAAGACGCTGACAAGCCGCAGCCTCAACACGACGCGCAGCTCGAGGCCCCATTCTCGCCCTTCTGATCTGCCTCCAGTTTAACTCCTTCATTCTGCCGCTCCCGCTCCTCAAACAGGCTTGCCTGTAGGAACACATCACCGTTGTAGTCAGGTTTTCACACAGGAGTGAGGAGAATAGACACTATCTGAGAGTCTATTTAACACAGGACGAACAGAAGTTAATCAACTTAAACACCGAGTCTATTTCACACAATAGTGGGGAGAATAACAGACACTATCAAAATAATACGCAAGAAGAGTCTAATTTAAAAAATGTGTGAAAGGTCAATAAAGCCGGTAAAATAATACTAAAAGCAAAATAATGTTTATTAAGGAGTTGCTGTTCAGTATAAGGGGACTGTTGTTCAGTATAGGACTGTTGTTCAGTATAGGGGGACTGTTGTTCAGTATAAGGGGGACTGTTGTTCAGTATAGGGGGGACTGTTGTTCAGTATAGGGGGGACATCTATTGGACAACGGTGAGGGAGCCTCACCGTTGTCCAATAGATGAGGCTATCGCTAACATTCGTCAGACTAAAAACTGATACAAGGTAAAGGACTGGACGTCTGCCGGAAAAGTTAAGATAGGAAAATCTAAAGGAAAGGAAACATCTAATGGAAACATTACAAACCAATACAAATTTAAACAACGAAAGAAACATATTATATAATCCTTTAAGAGTCTGCTTCCCGAAGGAGTTGATGGATCATTGCATGCAAGAAGCTACAGTGAGTCCAAAAAATCAAGATGTTATTGCAGTCACTGAAACTTTCGATAGTGCCGAGACCTGAGATTTAATTTCCAAGTGGCAGCCAGTTGTTAAGGAAAATTTGTAATGCTGCACTAACAATATAAAACAGTGGTAAATACTGAACACATTTGGCGTAAGATGAGCGAAGTTAACCAGAATCTAATATGATTTGTTAATAAGCTGCCGAATTTGGGCAGAATGGCAGGTAAACATATTTTGGAGAATGTTATAAAGGCTTCAAGATATATAAAAATATGACACTTTAATTAGACTAATAAAGCTACTTTAATATAAATCCTCGTGAAAAATAAAATAGCTGGAGGACATGCTCTCATAGTTTACATAAAATTTGATGAAATGTTATATGAGCAACAGGGGAAGTATGTTGAATATTTTAAAAAGATAACAATAATTTCGTGCTCTCCCAATAAAAAACATAATCTGGCTTCAAGTGTTAAATCCACGAAATGTCTCTAATTTTGATATAACAATCAGGGATGAGATAGGATATAAAACAGGAGGTGATGCAATAGTGAACAATTACAGCCCTGCTCCTAATGCCAGGTAAATCCACTACGGGGCTCACCATAGCCCGTGCTACTTGCAACTTTTTGTTCCCAGAAGCTGAATCTAACACAACTACATGCAGTAGTGAACCAAAGAGGGTTGGTTGACCTACACGTCTCTGTCGGAGGTCTCGTATAAGCCTCGCCAGCGTGAGGAAGGAGTCCTGAACCATCACGTCTCCTCGACAAGACACTTCAAAGAACGGCATATCGAAGCTCTCCGCCAGCTGTGGGTAAACAGGTCAAAAAAACAACTCACACAGATCCTCCTGCAGACACCACAGTCATGAATGGACACTAACATGAATAGTTAATTGATGCAAATATATTTTAAACAGCCGAAAATAAATATTTTTTATTTTTTCATGCAAGTGGCAGTGCTGAAATTAATCATCAGAATGTTTATACAGCTATTTACTTAATTTTTGATCTTTAATTCTCGCCACAGGTCACAAAAAAACACTAAAAGATTTCAATTGTAATGAATATATTAACGTTCATTTACTATAGTCCTTAATTTTTTTCCGGCGAGTGTATTATTATTATTAAAAAAAACAAGTTTTAGTACAGCACTGTGATTTGCTGAAGATTATTTTTTTAATTACAGGATTTACACATGCATGCTAATTCTCAGTTCTTATGTAGTGTAAGAGGAAGCGGGTGGGAGTAATTGAGGAGATTGGTGGAGTGATTGGTGGAGGTAGTGGGGTGATTGGTGGAGGTGGTGGGGTGATGGGAAGAGATGGTTAGGCTATTGGTGGTGAGGTGATTGAGGAAACGGTTGGGTGGAGACAGGGCCGGATTTATAAGGGGGAGAAAAGAGGCAATTGCCCCAGGTCCCATTGCCAGAGGCCCCCCCCCCCCTTCAGACTTCCTTTATAAAAACAGTAATAATTGTGAAATTAGTTTTAGTATTAAAAAAATTAACAAAGTGTGTGTGTAATTAACAAAGTATATGTAATAATATGGTAACCTAGGATTAATTTTTAGTAACCGCACAGTATATTTAATGACTATACGTTAGAAAAGATGTACGTTTTTAAGGTTATAGATCAATAGAAAACGTAACCTTTGGCCTCTAAAATGCATGGTAAATTTGTGAACCTTATTTCAAGGAAACAAATGGCGTCTTTGATGCAGAGAAATACGGTAATGTAGTGTATGATTTGCTAATTCCAATTACCTGTGTAAAGTGTGATTTGTAAATTTGGTGATTTGTTGCAGGTTGTTAAGATCATGCAAGAAATTTACTTATTCTTGTAAGAATAAGTAAATTTACTTATTATTGCAAGTACTTAAAATGCGTACTTGCCTGGGTGCTGTTTCTGACCTGATCTCGTACACTTTTATTGTGATTCCTTTTAAACTGTTATTGCTGATCGTGACTAGAAAGAGGGAAAACTAAACTTTATTATTCTTTTGTTCGGCTGTTATTTAGTGTGAATACAATAATAAATATCTTATACAGCTGTATAAAAAGCAAAACTTAGGGATGTGTACAATTTAAATAAATAAAGGCATTACATCACTTCATGCCTTATCTGATCACCTGTAATATATCACTAGCCTATATTACAAACTGAAATTTTTTATCAGTTTTTTTATTGATTCTTAATCAATAAAATTGAGAAAAAGTTTCGTTGGAACCTAAACATTTTTTCGAGCATGCGGTTTATCACCATTGAAGTTCACTTTCTTATTTGCTATACAATTGAATTTCTATGTCGAGGGTCCCCCGAAAATGAAGTGCCCCAGGCGACCCCCCCCCCACCAGGTCTAAATCCGGTCCTAGGTAGAGGTGATTATGGGGGGGGGGGGGTTGGATTTAAGTGGGGAAGGGGGGGGGGATGTTGGGTTTAAGTTGTGATGGGGGGGGGGTCAAAGGTAGAGGAGATTGGACAAGAAGTAGAGAGTTATGCAGGGCAAGTCGACCTTCTGTCCTCTCTCCTTGTCGACGGCTCGCTGCTGGTTGCTCACTTCGCATTTATTTCCCGCCAGCACCTTCACCACCTCCGGCGAGGCATTCTGTAACAAATCATATTTTCAAATGATAGAATATATATTTATATGCATGAATAGTTACGCAAGAAAAACATATACTAATGTAAGATGGAAACACAACGCAAGATTCACCTCTTCAATGTTTCTTAACCAGTAAGAGAGGTGGTTGAAGGAGTCGAGGTTGGTGACGTCATAGACGAGAACGATGCCTTGGGCCCCGCGGTAGTAAGCGGTCGTCAGGGTCCTGAACCGCTCCTCCCCCGCCGTGTCCCTGCAATCACAAATATTCACACATTAATCATGCTATTTATTCGTCTTGCTGGCATTAGTTTCCAACTTTAGGGGGGCCCCACCCCCCCACCCCCTCGGTTATCAGTTGTCTACGATAAAGACTCCCAAGCCTATATGTGTTATGAATATAGAAAGCCTCGACTTACTATCTTAGTTTGCGACCTTGCGATGATTTCGGGGCTTAGCGTCCCTGTGGCCCGGTCCTTGACCAGGCCTCCTCGTTGCTGGACTGGTCAAGCAGGTGTACTATTGGTGCATCGATAAAATACTTATATTCCTCTTACTCATTCGGGTTTCGAGTTATCACCCGTTTCATCTTACAGTTCCACTTGGTACTGTTTCTGGTAATCTGGTATAATGTGATCATATTACTAGGAGAGCAAATTTCACGGTTTTCCAATTTAACTTTTTGTAAATGAACAAATCCACAAGGGCCGTAACAAGGATTCGAACCTGCGTCCGGGAGCATCCCAGACACTGCCTTAATTGAATGAGCTACGACAGAGTTAAAAAGAGAAACCGAAGTTCTACTGAACTTACTGGATCCCGTAGCCTCTCCGAGACACAAACCAGGGTTTTAAACAACTCCCCCCCTGCACCCGAGCTATGTCAATAGGCCGTTCTCCCTCTTCGCCATTATATCATTACACACAGAAATCACACTAACGTGATGCATCAAATGAACAAATCGAATCCTCGTCACGGCCCTTGTGGATTGGTTCTGTTGATCATATCAGTTTTCCTGGTACTCTTATTTGCCGTTATTTTATCTCCTAAATTATGTCTCCCAAGCATGATTAAGTTCAGCTCTTTCAGACATTTCTCATAGCTTAATCCTCGCAGTTCTTGTACAAGCCTAGTTACATACCTCTGGACTTTTTATGAGTTTGGCTTTTGTCTGTCTGTCTGTCTGTCTGTCTGTCTGTCTGTCTGTCTGTCTGTCTGTCTGTCTGTCTGTCTGTCTGTCTGTCTGTCCGTCTCTTTCTCTTTACCTACCATATTTGTAACTTGATAGGTACGCCGTCCAGGTTGACTATTTTTTGCTTGAAGTCGATTCCTGTAAAAAAAAAAATAAAGTAACTTGAGACACGCAAATGAATCGGTTCTTGACTCAGAAGGAACCTTATATTTAGTAATAGTATTCAAAATAACAATGACATTAGAATGCATTAGGGTTATCGAACAGTGGTTTCCCATTCTTTATTTTAATTTAATTTTTATACGGGTAGGTACCAGGAATAGATGACTTTTAATACCTGTTACGAAGCTTCGAGCTTTCCGTTCATATAGCTAATTTCAAGCCTTCCGCTACTAATTTTGCCTGTGACACAACCCACCTATTGGGGGTGTGTGTCGGGAGAGAGAGAGAGAGAGAGAGAGAGAGAGAGAGAGAGAGAGAGAGAGAGAGAGAGAGAGAGAGAGAGAGAGAGAGAGAGAGAGAGAGAGAGAGAGAGAGAGAGAGAGAGAGAGAGAGAGAGAAAAATGTGTGTACTCACCTAATTGTGCTTGCGGGGGTTGAGCTCTGGCTCTTTGATCCCGCCTCTCAACCGTCAATCAACTGATGTACAGATTCCTGAGCCTACTGGGTTCTGTCATATCTACATTTGAAACTGTGTATGGAGTCAGCCTCCACCACATCACTTCCTAGTGCATTCCATTTACTAACTACTCTGACACTGAAAAAGTTCTTTCTAATGTCTCTGTGGCTCATTTGGGTACTCAGCTTCCACGTGTGTCCCCTTGTGCGTGTGCCACCTATGTTAAATAATCCATCCTTGTCCACCCTGTCAATTCCCCTGAGAATTTTGTATGTGGTGATCATGTCTCCCCTAGCTCTTCTGTCTTCCAGCGACGTGAGATGCAGTTCACGTAGTCTGTCCTCATAACTCATGCCTCTTAGTTCTGGGACTAGCCTAGTGGCATACCTCTGAACTTTTTCCAGCTTCGTCTTGTGCTTGACTAGATGTGTGTGTGTGTGTGTGTGTGTGTGTTGACCCTTGACCATGAAGCCTAGACCCTCGACCACTAAGCCTAGACTCTCGACCACTAAGCCTAGACCCTCGACCACGAAGCCTAGACCTTCGACCACTAGGCCTAGACCCTCGACCACGAAGCCTAGACCCTCGACCACGAAGCCTAGACCCTCGACCACTAAGCCTAGACCCTCGACCACGAAGCCTAGACCCTCGACCACTAAGCCTAGACCCTCGACCACGAAGCCTAGACCCTCGACCACTAAGCCTAGACCCTCGACCACTAAGCCTAGACCCTCGACCACCACGAAGCCTAGACCCTCGACCACGAAGCCTAGACCCCCGCCCCTCTTCAACCTGGCACTTGTGGATCTCCAGCCACGGTCCTTGAAGATCTGACCGGTGAATTTACAGGCAATTGTCTAGAACATCCATATGTTACAGAGAGGAAAAAAAAGAACACACAGAAGGATAGTCGGACAAGACAAATGCGCTCGACAAATCGGCACTCCAGAACAATGGTGAGCAGGATTTAGCTGTGGTCGATAGCTGTGCTGTTCTCGTGGCGCCACCACTAGTGTCTGGTGGGTGCCCCCGGCCGCACCCTCTGTACATTTCCTCTGCCCGTGGCACTCCCACGCTGGAGGGCGGTAGAAATAGCCTAAGCTACTCTATCCCTTTGAGATGTATTTCTTTCTTGTCTCAATAAACATACTTGAACTCGTGGGATCGGATGCGCCCAACGGGACAATATGCCACTTTCGCGAGCCGCTTCCATTTTCTAGTACGATAATTTTTGGCCTGATGTAACGCATACGAGCGAAATGCGACGTTCTTCATAGGAGGACAAGTTGCGACCTCTCGCCGTGTCCATCGGTCTCATGTCTCCCTGATACGGGAGGAATCTGTCTTCAGGTTAGGCTCGCCCAACTTGTGGCCAACCATACTGACGCACGCATATATTTTAACGTACTGTGCATTCAAAATAGGTATTTTTCGCAAGTGTAAATTAGTATTCGTATGTATATATATATTGGAATTGTATACAATGTTAGGTATAGGTAAGGTTAGGCATTTACGTTATGTTGGAAATTATATATTTTTGCGACGCATTCATAAATTTCAACGTACTTGATTCATATTCTGGATATATCCCTATACAAATTAATATTATATTATAATATTTACATTTGGTGTACGGTTAGATCTAAATCAGCTTAGGGTAGATGTTTAGGTTCTGTTGGCAATTATATGCATTTGCAGTAAGTAGGTGAAGCTTTTACAGAGCTGCGATTCGAACAGTGGTCGCCAATGAAGAAATGTTTGAACGTTATCGTTTGTGACTGTATGTAAACCGTTTTTTAATCATAAACACGGGGTTTGCTGGCTGGATTATTTATATTTGTTATACGTGGGTGAAGCATTTATCGAGTTGTGAGTCGTGTGTGTTGTGTTTTTCATTCACAAACAGGATGTTTAGCGGTTGATGTAACGATCATGTCCGCCCGTTCTCATCAACAAAAGCCAAATGCTCGTTAATCCAGCTGCCTAACCCCCTGTTAATGAATGAAAACGGTTTACACACGACTCAACGGATGACGCTAGAACATCTCTCTAACAGTGCTTCGCTGACGACCTCTGTTCGAGTCGCAATTCTGCAAATGCTTCACCAACGTATTTCAAATACAAATAATCGTCAACATAGCCTAAATACCTATTCTAACTATACATTGAACTTTAATATATTATAATATAAATTTGATAATAAAACAAGCTCAGTCGTAAAACTGAGTCGTAGCTCAGTCGATTAAGGCAGTGTCTAGGATGCTCCCGGACGCAGGTTCGAATCCTCGTCACGGCCCTTGTGGATTTGTTCATGAAAACAAGCCTATTTTTAATACACAACATGTTAAAACTGATGAATGCTACTTGGGAGACAGGCCGCTGCTTTAACGAGCCTGGCCTAAGGACGGGTTGATCATTTGGCCTTTGTTTATGAGGACGGACGGGCTGCGCAGAGACACCTTGTGCGTTCTTCGATTGTCCCAGAGTTCACTGGACGCTTGACGCCTTATCGTCTCGGACTTGAGGGTCACTGAGTGTCGTCAGTCTTCCAGGGTCGTATTTAAATTTAAATTTAAATTTTGCCCCGAGGGGCGAGTTTATTGGGCAGCGCCACTCATCTTGTGAGTGGACACACCGCCATAGCAGCATGCACAACACTCCCCAATAGGAAGAAAACCCGCTGGGTTGTTCATCCTGTCACTTGTACCCAGCTGGGATCCAGGGTCGTAGTCCGGTGTTCGCTTCCCCCTGGAGACGCCAGGGAAAGCCAAATATCTTAAGTGTGTTTTTCTGCCGTAAGATACAGTACTTTTCCGGCAACAGGCTACCTGTACATAGCCGCAAGCCATACACGGCAAGGCCGAGTCACATCCGGCTATTATATTGACGTTTAGGGGGGTAGAAATAGCCTAAGCTACTCTATCCCTTTGAGATGTATTTTTATTGTCTCAATAAACGTATTTGAAATTGTATTGTCGTGGCCACAAAATGAGTAACTTGTGTGTGTCCGTCTACCCTGTGCCAGATTATCAGTTGATCTATTAGGCACAGTACCTAGGGCCTACGAGCTAGTGGGGTCCTACTAAATATAAAACGAGAACTTTTCTTCCCCCGTTTTCTACAGGATATTATTAAACTTATATTATTATATATTATATAATATTATTATTATACAGTAAATAAATTGAAAAAATACCTCGATTTTACTTAATCCTGTTAACATTTATATTGATTATTTTCTACTAAGCATATTCTGACCATAGATAAAAGCAAAATAGTAGAAAAAACTTGTTTCAAAGAGTACATATTTTTTTCAGTCTAATTCATATTTATATTAGTTTGTGTTATTTAATACATATGATGTCAAATTTGGCCTCGCATCTTTGAGGGGCCAAACGCCTACGAAATTCTTAATCCGGTCCTGCCTTTACTAGTCCATCATCTCGTGGATTTATCCATCAACCAGCTAACCCATCCTCCAGCCAAAGCTATAAGTTAAACACTAGCTTGTATATAGATTAATTAGTATTTGATTTATACCGCAGACAAAAACTTACAAGGTAAATATTTCATCCCGGTATTTTTATATACACAATAATATATACACATTTGATTATAATTTATTGGGTATTATTAGGGCGGAGGTCAATCATGACACCTGCTAAAGTCTTCCTATCGACCATACGGCTGCAGAATTTTTTTAATTTATTTTGTACTTATGCTAATATTAAGACGTAATTAGTAAATTTTCATGCTGCAGTATGGTGGCCATAACAGCTTAGTGTGTCCCAGCAGGTGAAGAGGCACCTCCTAGCAATCCAGTTTATCCCAGTTAGAAGACCCGTGGCGCGCTCCCTAGTAGCTTAGCTTGTCCCAATGGGGAAAGAAACCTGTTGTGATTCCCCCCTAGCATGTTGCTACTGGTACGGATTTGCGTGGTATGTCCTCCCTAGCAGCCTAACTTGTCAAAGCACAGGAGGAGGCTCGTGGCGTGTCCTGGCAGCCTAGCTCATCTCAGTAGGCAAGGAGACCCATGGCGTGTCCTAGGAGCCTAGCTCGTCTCAGCAGGCAAGGAGACCCGTGGCGTGTCCCGTCTGACTCAGTACCACGAATCATGCACAGCAAATATAACTTTTTAGTTTTATAAAACTCTGGCATTCAATGTTTCACTTGCTAAGTAAGTTGGTTTCTTCAATTTCAGCAATGAAACTAAAGATTGTGAGATGGTGGTTCATGGAGGCCGAGTGAGTGTTGCCCAATCAATAGACATAGAGGAAGAATATTTTTGATTGGATGGCTGGCGTCGGGCACCGCGCCACAGACACACTGGCGACAGCTCAATGACTCCTTTTAACTCCACCAACAGTTCACAATCTCCACAGCACCCACCACCACCACTAACGACCCCCCCCCCACAACCACATCACCTCATAAATCACCACATAGCCTCATATATCACCACATCATACGGAATATTGGACTACTGAGAGGATAAACTGGTTCAGTATCAATACTGAAA